TGAGTTCCTTGGTGGTTCGCGGGCCCTTGCGTCCTAGCTTATGAACCAAGGACTCGCAGGTCATCTCGGACAGGAAGGCTCCTATCAGGTCGGCGTCGGCGACGTTTGGGAACTCGTTGCACTATCGGGAGAAGCACCAGATGTACCCGCGGAGGGTCTCACCGGCCTTCTGACGGCAGTTCTTGAGGTCCCATGGGTTCCCAGGGGGCTTGTACATGCCTTGAAAGTTTCCCACAAAGATCCCCTTCAGATCCGCCCAACTCTGGATTGCGTTGGACGGCAGGTGTTCCAACCACGCTCGTGCCAAATCGGCCAAGAATAGTGGAAGGTTGCGGATAATAAAGTCATCATTATCCGCACCACCGGCTTGACAGGCAAGCTGATAGTCTTCAAGCCAAAGTCTGGGGTTTGTCTCCCAGAGTACTTAGGGATATTGGTAGGTGGTCGATACCTTGGCGGGGGAATGCAGCGTTGAGGATGTGCCGGCTGAAGGCCTGAGGCCCTAGCAGGCCGGGGCTTGGGCTCCGGTCCTCGCTGCTGCCGTAGCGTCCGCTGCAATGAGGATGATAGCCGCGGTGGGCTCCTTCCCTTGGGTCGTTGTAGGTGCGTCTGCGGGCATCGAGGGTGCTACGTGCGTCGTGGTTGCGACCGAGACGTTGATGTATCGGGATCGCAGCGTGCTGCCTGCCGCCTTGTGGTGCCTGGTGGACTGATGCGTCTCTAGCGGGACGCATCGAGGGCGTGCGCTGGCTCGTGTCGAGCTCGCATCGCCGAGACAACGAGCTTTCTGCCTGCTGCGCCACCGCACGCTCGAGCAGCGTGCGAATTTCATGGTGGGCCCAACGATCCTCGGGCGTTGCGGCCTCTGGAAGGCCATGGAGCAAGGCCGTTGCGACGATGATGTTCTAGCTTGCCCGAGCGAAGTGAGGAAGGGTTTCATCGTCGGTGATGATCCTTCGGTTCACGTCATGGGCCACGGCGCGTGCGCGCCCACCGTCTCCACGACGTTCGATCTCCCGATCGACCTTCGTGTACTCCTGAACAAGCTATTGTCCGGCTTCGTCTATCTCCTGCTTTCGGGCTCTCAGCTGCTCCACCCCTACGTGAGGTGGGGCCACTGTTCCCCCTTCGGTTCTGTCGCCGAGGTCGCCTGCTGGGGTAGCCTCATTCGCGGAGATGCTTTCGACATGTCCCTCGGGGGTACCCACCATGAAACATTCCCAGGAGGGGTGATCTCTCCCCCTGCTGGAGTCAGAGCCAGAGTCCGTCCCCGGCCCCTCCGCGAGGAGGCCGTGGAGGGATTCCGTGATGCTTTCGATCGTCCCCATGAACTCGTTGTTCGCATGGGATGGGATCGTATGCTGTGCCACAAGGTGGCTAACGGTCGCCGCGGCGTTGCGGAGACCAAACAGAAGCGCCGTCGGGGCGCTCCGTGTGAAGTGTTCTGGAGAGAGGGTGAGGCGGCGCGGGTCCTCCCTGGACGGCTAGGGTCCGAGGGAGACATCGGGCTAGCGCTCAAGCCTCCCGTAGTTGAAGCCGATGGAGGGGAGAGATTGGATGGCAACGTGGGCCAATGCCAACTCTCCTTCCACCATGACGATGAAGTCTAGGTCACCGAAACGCACGTGTGCGTTCGGGACCCAGCTGATTGTGTGGCTAGCCATCTGAGGCTTGATTTGGAACGCACAAAGGCCCCTACCGCACGCCAACTGTCGGTGTTTCGAACAAACACCAACTAGTAAATTTATAATTGTTGCGTGTTAGGCTCGGATGGTGTACTAAAGGACACAAGGTTTATACTGGTTCGGGCAGAATGTCCCTATGTCCAGTCTGCTGTTGCTCGTGTTATTAGTACCGAAAAAGGTTCATAGTAGGGGGTACAAATGGTCGAGAGAGGGACATGTCCCAAGTCTCTGATGGAAAGATCGAAAGGACGCCAAGAGCTCGGTTGCTGCTTGGTTGTGTGTTGTGTGTGGAATTGATTTGTCGTCATTAGTGGGGTGCCTTGTCCCTCTCTTTTATAGACCAAGCGGGAGCAGGGATTACAGATGGGAGACAAAGGAAAAACCAAAGGTAGAGATGGTCCTTTGAGGGCGTTGGGTCTTCCTTTTCCCTTGAGCCTGCCCTGCTGACATGGCGGACCACGCCAGGGATAGCATGTTCCGTTGATCCTGATAGGGCTGGGCTCCGACTTTGTCTCAGCGAGTGGTCATGTCCCATCCTTCCCCGACGGACGGTGCGATGTGTCAGGGCGTCGAGCCATGACTCTACGGGGAGTAGATGGGGAAATGACTATACGCCTGCTACTGTAGATGATGTGAGTTCCTCCTCGGATTATAGTGGTTGTCGTATGCCTATGTTAGTGTCCGCGCCCAAGGGCTGATGGTGGCGCCTACAACACTCTGGGACAAAAGTCGGTGCCTACAACACTATTTAGACACTATTAGGTCGGAAAGGGCTTAAAGCGCTCGTCCCATCGTATCCTGACGGTACCTTCCTGCAGGCATGTAGGGCATGGTCCTCGGTACTGCGATTGACTCGAATGTCCTGTCGTACCCTGTGCTTGTCATTATGAAGGAGCAGGGTGTAATCGCCGGGTGAGGCGGAGCCTGCCCTCAACCGTCGGGCGAGGCGGAGCCATCCCTTAGACGTTGGGCGAGGCAGAGCCCACCCTCGGACGTCGGGCGTGGTGGAACCAGCCCTCAGACGTCGGGCGCGAAGCCGAGCCCCTCAGTCGTTGGGCGAGGCGGAGCCTGCCCTCAGCCGCTGGCGAGGCGGAGCCCGCCCTCGGACGTCGGGCGGGGCGGAGCCTGCCCTCAGACGTCTGGTGAGGCGGAGCCCGCCCTCGGACGTCGGGCGAGGCGGAGCCAGCCGTCGGGGGTCGGGCGAGGCGGAGTCTAGCCCTCTGGGGTCGAGCGAAGCGGAACCAATCTTCCGTCGTTCATGCAAGAAACATAGTAGCGTTCTTGACCGGAAACATCAACATTCGATAGTTATTAATTCCACCTCATTGAGTACCCGGTACTAGGTCCCGACAAGAACCCCATAAAGATGTCGTCTGCCAGCGTCTGTCAACTCGATGCCAAGACCAAGAAGAGACCGTACTATCCATGCACCAAGCAGTCCATGCTGCAGGAGAGACATTGTTCACGACTAACGGTCAAAAGCATGAACAGGCAGGCAGATATCCTTCACATGCTACAGTTCCTTTCCCTTTTACTGCCGCTTTATCTTTCACTGTCCCTGCTTCTTGCGCAGCAGCAGCAGCAAGCATCTATCGATTCCCCGTCTCATCCTTTTGCTTTTCTATACTCCTACTCCTATCTATCACTATTCTATCTCGGAACTCCCGGGAACGTTTACCAGCCAAATTATCAGCTGCACATTGCCTAATCTGAATCAGAATTCATAACTGACCAGATTCAACTGAATCATTGTTTTACCCTCAAAATTCCAAGTTTTTTCACTCTCTCTCCATCACATCAATTTTTAGCCGTTTACATGAAGCATTAAATGTAGGTAAAAAAAATAACTAATTGCACAGTTTAGTTGGAAATCACGAGATGAATCTTTTGAGCTTAGTTGGTCCACGATTAGACAATATTTACTAAATAAGACGAAAGTGCTATTATTCATCGGTTTGAAATTTTTTTCAATCTAAACAAGGCCTGGACTTCACCTTTCACTCTGACATTTTTGACAGCTTAAGATACTACTACTAGTAGTAGATAGGTTTGTTGTTCAGTCTTCACCTAGGATTCCAGTAACATCAGCAGGCAACAACCGGTCAGAAGTCAAAGCCACCAATCTTAAATTCTCAATCACATCTCACGAGCCATGACCATTCAAGTACAGGTCGCCAAGATGGTGTAGGTGAGTGGTGAGATCACAGCACGTGACTCCCCCGTCCCGTCCCCATCTCCCTGGGCCCAAAAGCCCAGTCAAACCTTGCTATCTCATCAAGAAGTAACCAACTTGTCTCCAAGAATTCATTCACCAGCAAGGAAGATCACAAGACTAACCAAACACTTGGCTACATGAATGAATGCACTCAAAGCAGACAGCTTGTCTGATGTAGAGGACAAGCAATCTGATAAACTATAACACCATGCATTCGAGCCAGGAAACAAGGCTCTGACCTGTAGAATTAGAAAAGGTTTAACAGAACTAGTATATATATATTTTTGCCCTGCCACAGCAATGAGCACAGCAAATGCAGGCATCATTTTGCTTCTCAGGTACTACACCACAGGGACAAAGATAAAAAAAAAAAAGGTAATGCACATGATTACACCTTTGCAAACCTCTGAAGTCACATCAATCTATCACTGTCCCTCAGCACTGGAGATCATGATCAAGGATCAGTTCAATTCAAGCATCATTTCACCTTTTGCCGATTTGCAATGATTTTACACCTCATGCTCATGCTGATACACCCCAAAACCTCATTCTAACAGATTTCCCAAAGGCAAAGGGAGAACAAAAAAAATGTATGTTTATTAACCTCCCTAAAAAAAGAGAACCAAATGGGGGGCAAGGGTTTTTCTGAGCTGTGGTTAATGATGCACAGATGCGAGCCGATCCTTGTTTCAACATGGCTGTCCACAGGCAAACGGTTAGTTGCAAAATTGCCCAACTATCCTGCAAAAACAGGTCAACCAGCAGAGAACACGTTATTACTTATTAGGACCATTGAGTTCTAGATTTTTGCAACAAATCACCAGTCAACAAAGTGGTTACCTTTATGTTAGTTTTTGTGTAATGTTCTTCTCAACCATCTGACTGGAAGCGCTATGAAAGCCAGACGAAAAAAAATTAGGCAGGTTTACACCTGATCATCAAGCCAATCTACATCCCCAGTTATTGTTCATCAAGAACCCGGCAACCTGTGTCATCAACACAGCTCTGTAAATACAAGGCATAAATGTAAAAAGCAAGCAGTTTTATCGAGAATCGACCAAGCCTACCTAAGTTGAAGTAGAAAACAAGTTTCAGCCAAATTAGTAGAACTTCATTTCTCCAGAGCTGTATGGATCTGGCAAAAGCTCTTCCACCTCAATTCTAGAGCTGAAATAGCCCATGTTTCTTCTTCTGTGGCGGATGCTTTCAACCTCAGCCATGAAAATACTGTACACTGGCCTGTGGTCAGAGAAGCGAGACTCTCCACGAACATAGGACAATTGCATCAGGCCATTACCATACCACAAAATACGATCACACCTTCAATAAGATTAAAATAAAAGATACATCAGGGAATTCCTTTGGAGTAACTCAACGGAGGATGCAATTCTTGTGGATAATAGGGCAGAAGAAATTACCAAGCAGGCGTCCTCCGTTTTTCTTTGGGACGCACTCCAGAATAACGATCTGAGTTGAATGAGTATTTATATGTTGGAGGAAAATAAATCCTGCCTTCTTTCCATCCCTGGAAAACACGCCCACATCTTCGTTCTATCCGTAGCTGTTTTCAAACAAGTAATGTCAAACATGATCCTCAGTCACACTGACTAGAAAAAGATGTAGTGTAACAGGGCAGTAGCAAATTACCTGATCTTTCTCCAATAGTTGTTTCCAATTATGCATTTCAACAAGAGCTTTAGCTGAGCAGTATGAAAGAGCAATCCGATAATTCAAATCCCCAAGCCAAATGATACGACTGTAATTAGAAAAGTAAGGAATATCCTATTAGTGCCAGTACTCTGATGCTACTACATCATTATACATATAAGAAGCATTGCCTCAGGGAGAAAAAGAGCATCAATACGTACTCATGCTCAAGAATTGTTTCTGGTGACTTGACATCAGAAGCACCACGGACCTGTGGAAATCTAGTCTTCCTTAGAATTTCCATAACATCAGAATTCCTCCGAAGTTCATCTCCCTCCTTTTCACCGGAGGTCAAATGACAACAGACAAAACAAAAGGTTGTGTGGTGCAAAGACATGCTTATGGATATAGACCCCTGCAGCAAAATGAAAGCATGCTCAGTAGTCTATATTGTGGTAACAACAGATAACCATCCACATCCAAGGTGATCAATCTAAGAACAATGGACCGTTTTCTAGTAATCTAGTTAAAAAAATCCTAAATAAAATGCGTAGCAGGACAAAATGAAAACCGTGCAGAATGTACATTATTTACCTTATTTCCAAGATAACCCATTAGTCCTCTACCCACGCAAGAAACTTTCAGGTTTCTCACATCATTTCTTATTTCGCTGCGTACCCAAATGGTGAGAAATATACCGACCATCTGCTTGCTGGCAACCAAACAGTACCTGGTATAAATACAACATTTCTGGAGTTATTTTCAGGAACATAGAATCAAGTACCATAGCCGTTACTAAGCTAAAATGATTAAAAAAATAAAAAAGTATACCAAACACGTATGTGCAAACTTTTATGGAACATGTTGAGAAAAAAAAATACCTAGATGTATTTGACTGATAATCATTTTCTTCCATAGGTGCGGAGCACCATAGCCATATGGGAAGGGTGAAAAATATGCTCCATTGCTTGTATCCTCCTCGATACAATGATCATCTGGTGATCCCATGAATGGGAAGTTCCCATCAAAATCACTTGGCCTGCCTCCCAAGCTAACTGGGTCACAGACACTGAACCTACGATCAAACCTTGGGTGTGGCAGCATATGGTTCCCTTCAACTCTTAAACTCCGGCTAAGGTTGAATGACCGACGGTGCAAATAGGATAAACTATCCTGCCTTCTCGATGATCCTTCAAAATCAGCATCTTGTTCAACAACCGGATCAGGGACAGGAGATGGTGTGCGATAGCCACCATAGCAGCATGAACCAGGATTCTTATTCAATGTCCTCCTGACAAGGGATACCCATTTTTTGGCTGGGAGATTATCTTCAGTGCCAAGAACATTTCCAGCATTCAAAGGAACAATTTCTTGAAATCTGACAACAAGAAAAAGAAGTTAACAATTTCCAGCACTCAAGAGCATAACATGAAGTCAATTTTTGTTTAAAATTTAGGAAGCCCTTGGCGCTACACACCCTAACACATAGATATCAGCTGGAGGTGAAGAATGGAGCCAGTCATCAAGATTCAATCCCCTTGGTGGGGATTTACCTCCGACATTCCACGTGGAGGCAAAGATTCTACAAAAGCAGGGAAGCAAAAGAGATCTTCATCAGATTAAGCAGTGAAGTCAAACTACAAGAACTACCTACAACTACAAGCACAAACAGACGACTGACTGATTTTTAACACTGAAAATCTGAGATGCACACTACTATACTACTACTAGCACACAACAGATCAGTTGGTCCGCGCTTTCCATTTGGTTTCTAATCTCACAAGGCAAAGAAGCACATGGAGTGGACAGAAAAGAAACTCTACCTGTAATTCTGAACTTCGGTGAGGCGTGCCGCATCGACGACGTCGTTTTTTCCTCCTCGGATTCGGTCCATACTACGCTTCGACGACCGGTCTACAAGTCATTAAGGAACAACAGAAACAGAGAATAATCAGATGAACCGGTAAAAAACACATAGACAAAGACTATTTGAACGACCAATGAAATCAGTTTAGCAAAAAGAGGAGCCCTGGCAAAATAAAAGGGAGGTAGCTACAATCTTTGATGCCTGAAGACAGAGAAAGGGAGAGAAGCGTGGTCCAGATGCTTTAACTGACCAGTTCTGCTTTTCTTGGCTGCGCCTGCCTCCCTCTCTGAGCAGCTGGTCCTCCATTCACCGCCATGCCCGTCCCTCCCTGAATCACTAAGCAAATTTAGCCCAAACAAACAAAATGCAGCAGATGCAAAGGAAAAGCCAGTTGTTTGAGTCCGTTTGAGCAGAGCTGCTGCCTCGGAAATGAAAGTGAAAACTTAAGACAGGTAAACACGCCATGAGACGAGAAAGATACAAAAATTCCAAGCAGCAACGGACAAACATCTGCATCACTTGGGGAAAAGGTGTCTGGTTGGGACATTCTAAGGACCAATGCCAGGAACGTGTAGGATCGAGACATGTTTGCTGGTAATGTATCTATCTCTGAATGAAACCTAGGAACTAGACCGGAAAATCTGGTAACGCGAGAAACGTCAAGCGCAGGATGACGAAAATTCCATTGAGCAAACATTCCTAAAGTAGCGTTTACCTTGGGTGGCGTCGCAATCCGCATGGAAATCCTGCGCCTTAGTCTTGATGTTGAACCACTTCCTCACGAGGGATTTCGACCAGGAGAGCTGCGCATGAATGAACAAGCAAAAATCCCACACAGCTCGATCAATAAAAAAACACAGCAAACCGAACAACAAGACGCATCGCAGACTGAACTGAAACCAAGCAAATACCTTGCTCTTCTTGTTGCTCTCTTCCCTCATTGTCTCATAACTCCCAGAAACCACGCACCAAGCAATGGAAGAACTGACGCTCCTCCCTCCGTCCTCGGCCTAACAAGGCAGGACGCGTCGCTGGAGGAAGGAAACCTCAAATCCCGCAGAAATTTCGCCTCTCAGAGCAAGATTCTGACCCGGGAGCTGCGAATCCTGGACCGAATCGACTGCCGAGCAAAATGCTTCAGCTTGCCGCAACAAACCAGCCGCGCCGGGGATCAAGAATCCCTCTTTCCTTGCGGCGAAAAAAAACCCCACCAAATCTTCCTCCTCTCGGCCTCTCCTCGTAACGGGGAGGAACGAATGCCCCGCCTCGGCGCCTCTGCAGCAGCACAGCCTAGCACCGTAGCAGTATGGCAAGGCAGCACCGCAGTGCAGTCTGCACTTTGCTCCTGAAATCCTGAACGCCCTCTCCTCCTCCCTCCTCCCCAGTAGGCTCCCTCTCGCTCTAGGGGTTAAGGCTAGCGGTAGTACAGCCAGACGCCGGAATAGGTTTGTACAGGACTAGGAGTAGGCGTAGTAGAGCTCAGCAGTGCGGCGTATGGTGGTGCGTGCAAGTGCAATGCGAAAGCGAGGTGCAGTGCGTCCACCCCTGATCTGCTGCCCTGCCCTCTCTCTCTCTCGCTCTCTGGTTCCCCGTACCCCTGCCTCTTTTCAGCCCGTTCGTTTGTAAACCAACACCAGTAACCACCAACGAACGGGCCCTTTATCCCCCATCCTGCGTGCCCATCTCTCAGTCTCCGTGCTTTGGGTTTTCTAATCTAATCACCCCCCGCTCTCGGCCTGCTCGCTCAAATCCAAGCCGCTGCTTAGCTTAATAATGATAATGAGTACATGTGTGGGGAGGGTCTTGAGAGGAAGGAAAGGTGCGTGAATCGTGAAGCAGCAGCGAGCGAAAATGGCAACGCCGAGAATGAAAAAGGCAAGTGTCAATTACATGCCACATTTGTTGGGGATGGATTCCTTTTCGAACTCGAATTGCAGCTTTTGTATATGGTATGAGTATGATCATATCCTTTTAAATTCTCTGTCTCCCTTGATCCTATTACGGAATATGGAGTATCAAATATAGTGTCACCTCCAAATTACATAGCGGGCATCAGAAATACCTTGCATAGCTCGGTTCGTTTGGCTGATAAGCCATGGCTGAAAGTACTGTTGGCTGATTTTTTGTGAGAGAAAAATATTATTTATTGATTAAGAAAATACGGCTTATAAGTCAAGCGAACGTGCCGATCTGGAAAGCTAAACTGATGGAAACAATAATAAATGGAGCCTAGTAAGAAACAGTTGGCTATGGAAGCGAAACGGAACCGGAGAACAGTAACCGTAGAAACTGGCCGTCCATGGCTGGGACTGGGAGGATGGCTCCAGCGGAAGGAACAAGCTCCCTGGGGAGCGGGCCCCACGTGCAGGTGAGACAGGTTGTTGGGCCTTTCATCCCTGGGCCCGCTTCCAGCCAACTGTCAGTTGCCGCGTTTCCTCTCCCGCTTGCGGTGGGCTCGAGTCGAGCCTGCGCTTCTTCGATCCGTTTTAACCCCGGCCCTACTTGCAGAGCCAGGGCAGCCCTCGCAGTGTCACGCCACTGCCAGTGGGGCCCGAGGCTGGATGGACCTACGTGTCATCGGTCAGCTTTACGCCGGACGTCACTCTTCAGTCTTCACTCTTGTCGTAGGGTGTGCGGTAGCTGAAGCAATTGAAGGACGAGGTCATGAGTTTTGTTCTTTTCCGAATTTTTTACCTTACGTAGGAATAAGTGTATTGAATCGGTAACAAGTTAAAAATCAGAAACAAACTAGCTAAGGTCATCTTTGACGAAGCTTTGAACGGCTTTAGTTTCAGCATTTTCGGTTGCACTACTTGCAGCGCAGCTACAGCTGTAGCAAAGTTGCAGTTGAAGCTTTACAAGAAGTGCAGGCGAGCACTCTCTTTATTGCTAAAGAGTTAAAAAAAAAGTCGAAGCCAGTGAAGCTAAAAAAGCTAACTTCTAGTTCGTTTGAGGTGGAAAAAAGAGAGAGAAAAATTCATGTGAACAGTACCAAAAATTGTATCAGTGTAGGCGAAACTCAACTGGTTTAAGCCCTGGAAAAAGAGGACCTAAACAGATGAGTAGCAGTGTAGATCCATAGAGATGCCTCTCTACATGGTTTTGTACAGTACGTAATGCTCTTTTCTTTTTGCCACAGTATAGCCGTGTACGTACACGCTGGATCTGATTTACCTACCCATAGTTCGCTACTCGCTACTCGCTAGGGAGGCAATAACTGGTTTTCAGAGTCCCAGGCCAAACGTGACGAGAATGAAATCGATGCTCGGCGATCCTGGATGGTCCTGGGAGATAGATTCGAGTCCGACGCATCGTCGTCGTCTCGTCGACCGGTCGACGTGACGACATTGCTGCACGGTTACACGAAAACTTAGAAAGATGCAGCAGCGCGCGCGACCAGCACGCACTTTCTGTGCTCAGCACAGAGTCCCATTCCCGTGCAAACACTCGCCCGGCCGAGACCGAGAGGTTCGTCCGAGACGAACGAGGCAAAGGGACGGACCGGCGGCCACACGACGGCGCCTCGTCCTATTCTCCGTCGGGCAACGGGCGTCGTCGTCGTCGTTGGCTCGTCGCTGCTTTGCACGCAGTGGCGGAGCCAGGAATTATCCTTAGGGGGGCCGGTTGCCAGGAATTATACTTAGGGGGGCCGACTAAAAGAGCCAATATGTAAAAACTAAGTGTAACTCAACTCGTTAGGTTTCTTGTGATGACTGTCGGAATTAATTCATTGACTTGAACGGGTGCTCGCAATTTCTTATATGTATTCTAGGATCTAAGACGCTATTTTTTCAGTGGTAAGTGACATGCCCGTTAACAGCAAGATGTATAGGGTGACTTTGTACATCTTGAGTATCGACTCGGTCATTTTCATTACGATAATTTTATTATCTAGTTGTGTTTTGTATGATTATATTATCTAGAAGATATTAATAGGTATATATGACAAGAATTTATATAATCTCCCTCTTAATATAAATAAAAAATATTAAATCATATTACTAATTTTTTTTGTTGTGAAATATTGGGGGGGGCCTTGGCTCCGCCACTGTTTGCACGCATGCATGCGACGCGAATGCGATAGCTCGCCAGGGGCCAGGGCTGTGGGTGTGCGTGAGACCGATGCCATGCATGCATGCACCCGATGCACGGCTCCGTCCGTCCTCTGCTTTATTTTCTCCCGTGGATCGAGAGAGGGCCGCTTCGTCTTTTCACGCTTGTCTTCACGCACGTACGGGGCGAGCCAGCGCCAGGCCGCCAGCAGCCACGCATGCATGCGCCCGACTCTCCGCCCGTGCGACGATGCGTGTGCGTGCGTGCGTGTACTCTACCCCCTACACGTTGACGTGGCCCTTTTTACTTGTCTTATAATCCATATTTTTCAACTTATTATTTAGTTAGAATAGTATTTTTTTCTCACAATAAATCAGTCGGAACAGTATTTTGACTTATTTTTTTCAGCGAAACAAACGAGACTTTGTGTGCAACTAAGCAGTTGCACAATGTACACAATCTCTCCCTCTCCTAGCCATGGGGTCCACATGCATCCGGTGCTGCCTACTAGGTAGCTAGTGCTGCTAGCCTGCTAGGCATGCATGGGAGAAAGATCAGCCATGGCGTGGATTAATCACAATATTGTTTTTTTCTTTTCTACTAGTGGACTTTTTTTTTCCGGGGACGGGTTGGATCGGAGCTAGTGTCAGTTTTGTCTTCTCCGCGCTGGCGCTTGCAGTGGCCACTGTAGCTCCCACGCACGGCTGTGGCACTGTCTACTTCGCGATCACAGCCGTCCATACTTTGATCTTAATAATTTTAAAATTGTGCTCTTTATTAGGGTGCTTACCATTTAGGATATGTACTTTAGATGTCGCAGTTTTATTTCAAAAATATGCCATTAAGAAACTATTAACTTTTCTGGAAAAAAGTGGTTTTACGAGAGCTAAATCTACGTGAGAAGTTGGTTTCAAAGGATTGAACTAGGAACCCAGGAATAAGGTTTTCACAACACCATGGTTTTTGAGACAAACTGAAATAAAGTTTTATCAAACACCATGCACCTTTTGAAAAATAAAGTATTTTGTAATGCCATGAATGGTATGTGTCCAATGCTTCACAAAAAAAAACATGTGGTTTAATTTATAAACCAAAGTTGTGCAAAACATGGTTTAGAGAAAAATATATCTTGAATGATGGAGCTTTCTGAAACTCTGAAAATACTAGGTTTTGACAATATCATGTTTTTTAAAAAAAACTTTTGCATCTAATTAACACCGAACAATTTTGATCAAAATAAAGTATTTTATAAAACAATGGTATTTGCCTGATACTTAAAAAAAAGGCTTTCTATCCAAACAAGGAGTTAATTATTTGTAGTAACTATAGTACAATTAACAATCTATGTTAATTTGGACTTCAACGGATCTGCGCTAACAAACTATATATTTGTTTGAGAATTCTAACAACAAGCTATAGTATATCGATCCATCCATAAACACAACCAGAATATTAAAGTTCTCCTAGTGAGGTGGGGTTCTCCTATTGTTTTGGCATTCAAAATTTAGTACAAATTTTCCTACTAAATGCCTCCTAGTGAGATTCCCACATGCTATGACTAGTGGTAGTGTTTTATTACTACTTAAAAACACTAGGAGAATTCCACCATATTGATAGGGAAAGTAGACATCTCAACTTATTCCTCTCATTTCAATAAAAAAATATGCTCGGAGATTCGTGCTCCGGCTAGCCGGCGCGAGTGCAGTGCTAAAAAACACGGCCGGGGCAGAGGGGGGGGACAGCCCCACCCGTTTTTCATTAAGAGGAAAGCCACAGCTTCCGGCCACGGAAAACCTCCCGAACCCTAGCTTCGCTAGTGAGGGGATTTTTATTGTGCAGCACCCAGGATTTGAACCCTGGGTGGGGTGGCTCCTCCGCTGGAAGCCGT